GTAGCCCTTGTTACATAATTTCTTCCTTGACATTTTGCAGCACAATATTACAGTTAGTATGTATGTGTATGTATGAGAAACATGCTTTTTGAGTGAGAAAGAAACCTCTGCTTTCTGAGAAGATATTTTTACCCCATTAAAAATGCATTTTCATGTAAATATGATGGGGGTTGCAAGGTTGTGAATCACTGTTTTTTTTTATCCTGGTCAGACAGTATGTTCCCCCGTTGATCTTTTGGTATCCATACCCTGTTTCCCCGAAAATAAGACCTAACCTGAAAACAACCCCTAGTATGATTTTTCAGGATGCTCGTAATATAATCCCTACCCCCAAAATAAGCCCTAGTTAAGTGAAACCCCGCCCTCCACCATTGTGGAGCATTGTGCAGCAACCAGAAGATGACATAGCTGTAAAATAAAAAAATACCCTGAAAATAACCCTAATGTGTTTTTGGAACAAAAATTAATATAGGACCCTGTCTTTTCCCCCCTGGGAAAACACGATAATCTAGATTTAATTTTTCCTTTGATTCTATTGCTTTTGAGGAAGAGATCTATTGTTTTTCTTCTTTTGTTCTCTATTCTTAACACCAATTATTATAATAATTCTCTTTACCTCTATGTGATACTCACTGAAAAGTTGGATTCAGGATTCTGAGCCTACTTCTGTCACCATTTACTCTTGTTTCTCACCTTTCATAAATAATTTTAAGTATTTCCTCTGTCGTCCATTTAGGCTTTTCTTTTATTTGGATTATAGGAACAGTCTTTCTACATCCTCCCAATAATTTCTCTATTTTCAACTCACAGTTCTTTCATTTATGATAAATTGAATTTAGTAATACAAATCTATTTTTATATGGATTTTAAATTTATCATAAATGTTAATTAAACTATATTCTGTCACTATAATGCCACTAGTGTTCTGTTTGTTTGTTTAGCTTTTTTTATTTTTTTTCTACAGTATATTAACAATTTGTGGCCAGCAACACAATCTGCCCCTTGTCTTATTTTAGCAGACAGCATACAGCTTCTCCACCTACAACCTCTAATTATATAATCTATTTGATTTATCTAATGGCTATCTGGTGATGTTTTTGTGTACAGTCATCTGTTTAGTTTCCTACAGAAACTAAATAAACATCAAGAAATGTCTATCTATATTCTAGAATGTCAGAAAAGACCTACAAATATGCTCAAAAACCATCAAATGATGGATATGTGTGTCATAAAATGATAGGGTACCAAGAATCCTCACAGAGTCAGACTGGAGCCCCTGAAAGTTCAGATTTGGACCCAGACACTGAGATTCTCCTCTAAACAGGACCACAAATGTGGCACGAAGGCAGTAGTGCTCACATTAATGGAAACACTGCCTCTAGACTCAAAGCAAAGCTACACCTATCTCAGTACTCTTATCCAGGAGTTTGGTTAATTCCCTTCTGAAGCTATTTAACCCAGAAGCTTTAAAAATCATGTGGGATTGGAATATTAATCTCTTATTACTGCTAGTGTTTCTGTTACTAATAGTCTCTATAGAACTATTTAAAAGATATAGACAACTATATGTGGCTACGAAGAGCATGTTGGAAAGGCAGCTGAATTCCACAGAACTGACACCAATAGAACAATAACTAGGGGAATGTCATATTGAATTGTTTCAATACAGCTTCAGACTTTGTTAACATTTTTTAACAATTCATTTTCCATTGGTAAGGAAAGATCATAGGGAAGGGGATTTAAAACAGGGTACTGGGGTAAATAAAAAATACAGAATGTGATAGAAAACAATATACAGTGGTGCCTCGCACAACGATTGCTTCATACAACGATGAATTCACTCAGTGATGGGTTTTTTTGAGGAATTTCCCCCATTGTTTAACTTTGTTCTCTATGGGGGAATTTCACTTAACGATGTCCCTTTTTGCTCATTTAAAAGTGTCTCAGAATGTTTGAAACCTGTTTTAAATGGTTGGATTCTATAGTGCACCTTGTGAAACATGTGCAAACTTAATTTGGTTTTGTTCTGAGTCTTCATTAATTTTTGGTGATTTTTTTATTTTCCCCATTTAAATCAATTGAAATCAGTTCAATGCATTTAAATAGGGAAAACAAAAAATCACCAAAAATTAAGGACGACTCAGAACAACATCAAATTAAGTTTGCATAGGGTTCAGGAGGTGGGCTAACGATTGCAAGCATTTAAACCCTGTCCCAAACACTGTAAGGCACTTTTACAGGAGCGAAAAAGGACTTCGCAAAGCCATTGAAATGTATTGAGTCGGCTTCAATACATTCCAATGGAGGAAACATTGTTTCACTCAACGATGTTTCCTATGGGTTTTTTCACTTAAAGACGGCAATCTGTTCCAATTGGAACGGATTAACCGGTTTTCAATTCATTCCTATGGGAAATGGTGTTTCACAGAACCATGTTTCACACAACGTTGATTTTTTTGGAACCAATTAACATCGTTGTGTGAGGCACCACTGTATATCATTACTTTTGCCAATACGTTTTCTTACTAAGCTTATTCCACACTTATCTTGCCAGGTTTTTCTAAGCCTTTAAAATCTATAATTATATCTAATATTGTCTTTCTTATAATTTTGACCCATTCATGTTCTCATCTCTCATACAGTTATACAAAGGTTCCCTTTTTTTAGCCTCAACAATTTCTTTTTCTTTTAATACTTCAGTTAAAATATCCATCTCTACTGCTTTGAAAAAATTTTCTATTAACTCCTGGATTGTTGGAGTCTCCTCTTTTTTTCCAGTATTTCGCATATAACATTCTTGTTGCTATACTTACATGTATAATCAAATATCTTTTTTTCTTTTTCTATTGAGTCTGGTATTTACAGTGGTTCCTCACTTAATGGCAATAATCCGTTCCAGGAAAATTGCTATTAAGCAAAAACATGGTAAAGCGAAAATAAAAAGCCCATTGAAGTGTGAAGGCAAGAGGAGAAGGGGACGACAGAGGATGAGATGGTTGGACAGTCTCATCGAAGCGACCAACATGAATTTGGCCCAGCTTGGGGATGCAGTGGAAGACAGGAGGGCCTGGCGTGCTCTGGTCCATGGGGTCACGAAGAGTCGGGCATGACTAAACGACTGTAACGTTGCCCTGGCCTCACCTGTCGGTCACAGCTGGGTAGTGGAACAGCAGCCAATGAGGGGACGGAAGGTGGTGCTAAAGGGGGAGGAGCTGGGATATAAAGGAGTGTGTATGGTGTTTGGGAGAGGAGATAGAGAGTTTCTGAGAGATGAGTGATAAAAGAGATTGATAGAAAGTGAGAAAGTGCCTGTCAGTGAGGGAAAAGTCTGTGTGAGCTAGTGTCTTATAAATAGTGATTGACTGATTGATCTTACACCAGTGATTTACTACTTTTATTCCATGTAATCAATACACCTTTTATTTGTTTGAAAGAAACCCTTGTCCTTTTGATTATAAGGATAGGTTGGTGGCAGCAAGTTTGTGAAGTGATGTGATGGGCATTCTGAGAGGCCTGGAGTTGGCAGTGACATCAGAGTGCTGAGCCACGTTACAACGACTAAACAACAAGACAAACTTCATTATCTTTTTGTAAGTTCTTGAAGTATTAATTGTTTTGCAAGGACTCGTATTATCTCAGAAAGAAATATCATTTAGGTAATACATTCATCTTCACAGCTGCAATCCTCCCCATAAATGATAATTGAAATTTTGACAATTTTTCCAGATCTTTTTCAATCATACCAATTAGTCTGGTGTAGTTTTCTTTTATTAAAGTACTTGGGTTTTTTTTGGTAATCTAAATTCCTAGTTATTCCCCCCCCCCTTAAAACATGTTATTTCTACTAAATTTTGGATCTCCTCTTTCTTCATATTTTTGGTCAAAACTTGTGTTTTTTGTTTATTTACTTTTAGTCCACATACTTCCCCAACTTTTTTATTTATATTAGACTGTAGTGTGCAAAAGTATTTGCAGGTATTTCTATTTCTTTCATTTCCTTAATCAAATTTGTCGAAATCCAGCAGGCATCAATTCTTGACCAGCTTTTATGTCTATTCAAAAAATTTGTACAATCTCTTCGATATTCTGTTCTCCATGCATCTATAATATATGATTCTTCTTCCAATTGTAAGTATTTTTGGGATCATATTCCTTCTTTCCCCCCCTCTTTTCTCCTTATCCTGAAGAGGTATCTAGGTTTCTATCAAAGACTGCACTGAAGTCCCCCACTATACAATATTCCTGATAATCTCTGATAGGGAGTTATTTTTGTAGGTTTTTGTAAAATATTTCTTGATTTTCATTTGGTGCATACATATTTACAATCAGTATTTTTTCTGATTCTTTTTGTATTTCCACCAACAATATTCTTCCTTCTTGCGATGCATGGACCAATTTAGGGTTTAATTCTTTCCTTACATAGATGGCCAATCTTATTTTTTTTCCTAATCTAATGCTGTAAATATCTCTCCCAATTTTTGTTTTGCAATAGCTTATTGTCTGTTATCCTTATATGTGTTTCTTTTTGGCAAATCACATCCAATTTTAACTTTTGTAATTATAAGAAGATCCTTTTTTGTGGGGAGTTAGAATTTGTTAACAATTTAAAGAGTTTTTTGTTGTCTAGTATCAAGTATAAAAAAACTAAATTTAGCAAGTGTTAGACAGGTGTCTGGTTTGGGTGGATCAGGAGAAATTATTGTAATTTAAATGTACTTGGCTGCATTGACTCTTATCAAGGATACACAGGCAACAGAGATGAAGCAGACTCTGCAATCCAGCATTGAGGGGTGAAGCTACGCAAGAAGGATGCTTCCTGCAGTGCCAGTTATACATTCAAGATACTAATGGGGAGGATACTATCTGGACAAGCCTAACACAATGAGTGGGCTGACTGGACAGAGTATACGGACCTGTCAGTAACTTCATACAATTTAATCTACCTATCTCCTTCATAATGAATACTAACAGCAAGGCTGGGGAAAAGATGCTGTGCTCACCTTCCAAAGGGTGATGGTCATTCTTTGGTAACTTGGGGGAGAGAGTATCACTGTACAGAGGGGAATCTTGGGAATACCGCTTTGTACCCCGGCCTGGTCCCTGTAGAGAGCCATCTAACGAAATGCTCCCGTCTAGGAAGAGAGAACAAGGCCTGCTTATGATAAAGGTTTTCCTTGGAAATCTGCTCTGCCTGAGATCACCAGTTGATTTCCCTTAACACACAGTGGCCAATAATTCAGCTAACAGAAAGAAGGGCTTCCAAACTGCATTACTGTTTGAAACTTTAATTTCCCTTGAAATAAACTGCACCTGTCAGGCCTTTCAGTCCATTCAATAAAGGGAAATTTTGTGAATAGGACAGTGAGATTTCCAATACTGTCCTTGTTCTATTCTTTCATCTTTCAAATATGTGCTCCATCTAAAATAAGCCTTCCCACCCTCCCCGAAAAGTTTTAACTCTTCTGATTGCAAACTAAGTATCATTTTCCATTAAGACTAGGGCATTTATGTAGTTATAATAATTTCTCAAGTTAGATGGCTGAAAACAAAATATCCCTTTACAAGAGCTTGGTCATATTAGTTTGTCTGGATGATTTCTTTTTTTTTTTTAATGAAAATAATCTATTGTTAAAGATATGGATACATTTTGTGACAAGAAATTTTGAGTAAAAAACCCCACTATGACTTGCAAGCATGGTGGCAACCAAACAACCGAACAACCAAACATGATTTCTCATAACTACTCAGGGTCATTCCTTGATTAATTTACTATGTGCTTCTTAAAGTGGTTTTGAAAAGTAATGGATCATCTTAAGGAAAGTGATCCCAAAAGCTGCTGTATGTTTCAAAATATGCTTCCAAGACTTCTGAAATATTTGAATAGTGGGATAAGTGAATCTTAGGAAAACAAATTAAAACTCTCTAAATTTCATTACTGTCCCCTTAAAAGAAACTTCCCAGTATAACAAACATGTGTATGCTCTGAGTTCATTGCATAGCTAATACATGTATCCTTGTTTAAAACTGTATGTGAACATGTGTCGTGTGCATTCTAGGTCTCTCTGGAGAGAAGAATGTCATATAAAGGAAAATAATAATTAAATAAACTTCAGATATAGAACAACCTTTATCCCTACCTTTTCCAGTAATCAATGAATAGTCAAGACAGCTGGTGAGACAAGAAGATTGTTCAATGCAACTGGTAATATGTGATACTTCCAGTTGGTTCTAGCTATCCAGAATAGCTTATTTCAGCACTTTTTGCCCTGTAGGCCCAGACTTGCACAGTCAGTGTTTTGCACTGTTTTGGTAGCTATCCAGATAGACCATAAAGATTCTTTCCTGAAGGGAGTCCAAATCTGTTTGCCTTCCCTAGAATGCCACCTCACTCCTGTATGTATGCTTTGGCATTCCACAAAAGACTCAAGAAGCTATCATCTAGAGTCAGTGTTATACAAACACCCCATATACCTCAAGTCAACGTTTTTCATAGATTTGCTTATTTTTTCCACTCTGGACAGAGAATTTTGCAACTAAATGTAATTTTGAGATTTTTGTAAATGTACATTTGAAATTTTGGATGGTTCATAATCTCTCAGGGGTAGTTTCACCTAAGGTGATTCGTGCATCCACAGAGCCTTGTTGGAATGTTCTAGAGCTTTTGTGTGGAAGCAGAGACAGTACCATAAGCTCCCTCCCATATAAACACCTTGGCACCAATACCTAAGTTCAAGTCAACCGCAGCTGCAGATGAGGGTGTAGTAAAGATATAGAAAGGATGGGATGTGTGACTTCACAGAGGACTATAAGTAAAATTTCTGAAAATTTCCTGGGAAATTTTCAGAAATTTTACCTCTCTACAGGGGACCACTCAAAGAACTACACTTACAGGTAGGCAACCTGTTCTTTGTGGCCTCTGTGAATCACACTTAGGGTGACCAGCAAACTCACCTACCGGGAAGGAGGGTGTCACACCAGAATGGATGAAAGTACTGTGCTTCCAAAGGAAGCAACTATTTTCTGCTGAACATCCAAGTGATAGTGCATAACAAAGGCTTTGACCAGGTGGCTGCTGCACAGACCTCCATCAGGAAGATGCCCTGGAGGAAAGCTGTAGATGCTGCCAATGATCTGGTGGAATGAGCTTGAAGTGTGTCTGGCTCTAGTGCATAGGCTAGCTAGTAAGCAAGCCAAACAGTAGAGGCCACCCATTTAGAAATGCTTCGGAAGGAAACCTGGTATCCATTAGAAGGGACTTGGTAAGTTACCAAGACAGACTTTGTCTGGTGAAACTCCAGGTAGGGATAGTCCACACGCAGAGCTGAAAGGTTGATGGCTTGCCTGGCTGAAGTGATTGTCATGAGGAATACAGTTTTAAGTCTGAGAAGGTGCAAGTCTGCCAATGCTAGGGCTTGAAGGGTGCTTCTGTGAACTGCCAAAGCACAAGAGTCAATGACCACTGATGCAGAGTTGGTTCGACATCAGTATATACATGTGACAGATGTTTAAAAACTGTTTTAGGGTTGGATGCTTAAAATTTTGTGCAGGTGGGGAACTGGGCCATTGGTGGGCTACAATAGCTGTGATGTATACACTGATTGAAGAGAGGGAGAGACCACTGCTTGAGCTGGAGCAGGGACCAGAGGACCACGCAAAGAGAGGGTTTTTCCAGAGATGTACCCATGGAAGAGGTGACAGTCACAAACCTCTTACACTTGTAGCATAGGCTTTTCTGGTAGAGGGCTTTTTGGCATGACAGAGTACGTTCATGAGGGAGGCCGAATCCTCCATGCCACGAGATGAAGTATTGGGAAATCTGGGTTGAGTATCTGTGAGTTGTTCTGAGTGAGGAGGAGAGAAAGGCACAGGAGGTGGTAAAACTTGGATGCCATGCTCCAGAACGCCGGGGATCATGGTTGGCACAGTCTCTATAGGGCTACTACGTTGGCCTTGTCCTGGCAAAGTCTGACAACAACCTTGTGTAGGAGAGGGAACAATGGGGACATATAGAGGAAGGTTTGAGGCCAGCACTTAATGAAGGCATCACCTTGAGACCCTCTTCCGATTCCTGCCCAAGAATGATAATGGCAGCGTTTCTAATTTGTACAAGAGGTGAACAGGTCAATTTGGGGTGTCTCCCACTGGGCAAAAATGGTGCAGAAAACTTCTACTTCCAGTTATCATTCATGTGCCTGACACTTTGCAGCTGAGAAAGTCCAATAAGTTGTTATCCAAACCTGCCACATGCACAGCTGTGAGAAACACATGGTGGGAGAGAGACCAGTTCCACTGCCATGTAGAGGCGGCTTGAGGAGTGAGTGCCTCCTTGCTTGTTTATGTAAAACATCGCCATGGTGTTGTCCATGGTGATTTATACTACTTTGCCCTGAATATGATTCTGAAATGCCTTGCACGCCTTGATCACCACCAGGAACTCCAGCTAGTTGATGTGGAGTGTCTGATCTCTTGGAGACCATGCCACATGGAACTGAATTAATGCCCCAGCCTGTGAGACTGGCATCTGTCACAACTTGGAGGTGAGGGTGCTGCTGCCTGAAGGGTCTGTCAATGGCAAGATTGTGTTACCGGGTCCACCAAGAGAGTTGGGTGGACAGTTTGGATAGAACTGTGAGCCAGGTGGAAGGAAGTGTGCGAAGCAGGTTGAAAAGTGCAAGAAATCATGCCTGCAGGGACCACATTTTCAGGCAGGCATGTGGAACAAGAGAAGTCATGGAGGACATCATGCCCAAGACATGCTGGGCCATGAAGGCTGAGACTCTGGTATGTGGGGAGAAGGCCCTGAGTACAGAAACGAAACTGAGGAGCCTGTTCTCTGGCAAAAACATCCTAGCCACTCTGGAGTTCAGAGAGGCGCTGATGTACTAAATTAATCTGGTCAGGTTGAGGGAGGACTTTTCTAGGTTTTTCCTTAAGCTGAGATTTTGCAGGAGGCATAGTGTGACCGTGATGTCCCACTGAGCTTTGGAACAGGAGTGAGCAACAATAGGCCAATCACCAATATACAGGAATGTTTGGATCCCTTCCAGTCTGAGGAACACTGCCAATTGGTAAATACTTGAGGAGCCATGAAGAAGCTGAACGGCATTCTCTTGAACTGATAAGTCTGGTTCTTGAGTTGGAAGTGTAGGTACGACCTCTGGCAGGCATCTATGGCTATGTGAAAACAGGCGTCCCACAGATCTATGATGGCAAACCAATTTTCCTTGTGTAGCAGAGGGAGAATGGACTCCAAGGTAACTATGTTGAATTTGGTTGTGGTGATGTATGGGTTTATGTCTCTCCAGTCCAAAATGGGGCAAAGCCCACCATCCTTCTTAGGGATTGTGAAGTAACGGGAAATGCAACAGTGGGCTCATGTTACAGGAAGCCAGATTTCTACTAAATATCAGGAAAAACTTCCTAACTGTTAGAGTAGTAAGATGGTGCCTTGAGAGGTGGAATGCAACACTGGAGGCATTGAAGAGAAACTTGAATAACCACCTGGCAGACATTCTTTGATTTGTATTCCTGCATCTAGCAGGGGGGCTGGACTTGACGGCCTTATAGGCCACTTCCAACTTCACTATTTTGTGATTCTATGAGAAGAACCTGTTTTCACGTGGTGTGGTGGAACATACTTGACTGTGTCTTTGAGGAGAAAGGAGTGTATCCCTTTAGGGTGGCCGAGGATGCTGTGATTCTGCAGCAGGATGGACGGAGATGGTGGAACTATATGTGATACCCACATTCAACAATGGAGAGGACTGACCTGTCCATAGTGACGTTCTTCCATGCATGTAGGTATGACCAGAGGATGGGATGATCTTACAGGTAGGTGGAAGGGCAGTATCTTGGTTTCTAGAACATCAAATCTGCTGCTTTGTCTTGCAATCATGGTGCCTAGTGGTAGGCTGTGGATGGGACTTGGCCCGGGTGGGCTGCTGCCTATAGCAGTAGGTCATAGCTGGCTGCCTACAGCTGTCTTGGGTGGACCTTTGATAGTTGACTGAGGAACACCACTACTGGGGGTGGTGTGGTCACTGCTGTTGTGGGGGATATAACTCCCAATGCCTGGCAGCTGTACACTTTTTCTAAGTGTTTTTGACAATGTCATCTGTTTCAGCATTAAACA